AAGTTGTTCAACAAGAAATTGATTTAAGTGACCTACCAATGTACGGCATCAATAGATGAATTTGTTGGATTTATACCTTGATTTTTTCGCATAACAGCGACAGATATAGTATACTATATATGGACGAACATTGAAGTCTACTATTCCTCGAATAAAATGACAAGATTGAGGCACATGAAATACACTATTTGTAAAAATGAAATTACTCTCGATTAGTGCTTACATTAGTCGACAAAACCTCTGGAAAAAACAAATTTTATCACTTATGGTAAACTAAAAATACTTGAAACTCCCAAGAACTTGCTTAAATCTATGAATATAAGATGTTTTATGAAATGTTAGGTATTAATAAGACTAAATTATCTCTATGTTAAGAGTATAAATTATAGAAAAATGCTACGGTTTCGTTACAGAACCATTATGTTGGAGTTTGTAACCGTTAGATCAACTATCCTGGACAGTTACATGATGATTTAACGGTTACAATCCCAACAGAATTGTAAGAAACTGGGCGAAAAACGGGTACAGTCCCACTAACATGAAGCGCACCATAAGCGGGGAAAGCCCATATGAAGCCCAAGTGGGGTTCCATCCTAAAATCAATTATTGAAAGGAGGAGTAACCCGTTAGACTTATAAGGTGAGTATTTTCCATGTATGAATAATGTGGGACAACCCACAAGTGATATTCTAACACGCCCCCTCACTTGTGAGTCCTTCAGAAGCCCAAGTCCAACTGGGTTGGGTGCCCCAAGCCTACTAGAAGCAGACTCGCATAAACGGGTACGTGGGGAAGCAGACTCCCATAGACGGGTACGTCATCGCACGGTCCCAATAGAACCTGGCTCTGATACCACGTAAGAAACTAGGGGAAAAACGGGTGCGGTCCCACTAACATGAAGCGCACCATAAGCGGGGAAAGCCCATATGAAGCACAAGTGAGGTTCCATCCCAAAATCAATTGGTGGAAGGAGAAGTAGACCATTCGAAATATAAGGTGAGTCTATTTTTCCATGTATGAACGATGTGGGACAACTCACAAGTGATATTCTAATAGGAATGATTTCGTAACGAGACTGTAACATCTCTCTAAATTATAATTCGCTCAATGGCTATATACGTATCAAATGGTGTTACAAAAATCGGAGTGAGGTTGTCATCTATATATATATAAACAGATTTACCAATTTTTAAGAATAGTAAGTCAATTTCTGGTCAACACACTTTCTGCATTTATTACTTTCTTTTAATAGAAACTTTTATTTTGGAAAAATTTCAAAAAAGTGATAAGATTTTTTTTTTTGGAAAAAATTCAAATATATGATAAGATATTTTTTTTTAATAGGATACATCAACAAAATCTCCTATTTCGATGGAATATATGTTTACTAATCAAACAATTTTAATTAAGAGATTGGGGTCAACAAAATCTCCTAATGAATGTTTATTGACACGTGATTTAGTATAACTATTTTGTGGAACAAATTAACCAAAAGATACATTTTTTTCTTTTTTTAAAAAATCTTATCTTTTTTTTTTCATATTTCTCCTTACGATCGGTTTCAC